AAAGGCCCTGCGGTGCAAGTTCCTGTGCCTGAAGGACAGCCGGGAGGCCCATATGGCTGCAGTGGAGTGAGGGGTGGGAGGGGGAGTATAAAAGGGGGTAAAGAGGCAGCCAGAGGCCATCATGCTGGGTCTTGTGGCCATGATGTGGAGTTTGGAGTTTACCTTAAGTATGATGAGATATCTTGCAATAAGCTGCCTTTGAGAGTTTTGTGCAAAGAAGTGGCAAGGTCTGACTGCTGTGTGGAGAGTGGGCCATTAGGGGCCAGAGTGGGGAGACCAGGAACAGAGAGTACAGGAGGCTAGTGGAGGGGTTGTGGTGGCCCGGACCAGGGTGGTGGTAGAGGGAGTCGTCATGTATTCAGGATACCTTGTAAAAGTGGAGTCAGCAAGATTTGCTGATGTGTTGTTTGTATGTGGAGTGTGTTGGAGAGAGAGGGGAACTGGGAAGACCCCAGGGTTTTTGACCTGAGCAACCAGGGGATGGAGGTGCCATCGGCTGAGATGAGGAAGGCTGCGGGTGGAGCAGAACTGGAAGCTGTACCGTTTGATGTTCCACCAGCAATATCTGAGGTTCCAGTTTCTCCACATCCTTGCCAGTGCTTGTCATTGTCTGTCGTTTGGATCCCAGCTGTCTAGTCGGTATGAAATGATGTTTCATTGTGGTTTTGATTTGCATTTTCATAATGACTGATGATGTTGAGCATCTTTTCATGCTCTTGTTGACCATTCATATATCTTCTTTGGAGAAATGTTTCTTCACGTTCTTTGCCTATGTTGAAAATTGGGTTGTTTGCTTTTTACTATTACTGAGTTGTGTTATTTATATATGCTAGATATAAGTCCCTTACCAGATGTTTTCTCCCATCTTGTGGCTTGTCTTTTCACTTTTTTGACAGTATTTTTTGAAGCATAAAAGCATTTAACTTTGATAAAGCCCAGTTTATCTATATTTTTTGTTGTTTGTGTTTTGGGTGTCATATCTAAGGAACCATTTCCTAACCCAAGGTCATGAAGATTTACTCCTGTGTTTTCTTCTAAGGGTTTTATAACTTTAGCTCTTATATTTAGGTCATTGGTCCATTTTGAGTCGATATTTGTATATGGTGTGTGGTAGGGGTCCAACTTCATCCTTTTCATGTGAATATCCAGTTGTCCCAGGACGATTTGTTCAGTTATCTCCTGTTGAACCACGAAAACCTTTGTGAAAACTTAATTGACCATAAATGGGAGGGTTTATTTCTGGATTCTTTATTCTGTTTCACTGATCTATGCCAGTTCCACCCAGTCTTGTTTACTGTAGCTTTGTAGTAAGTTTTAAAATCCAAAAGTGTGGGCCCAACCTTGTCCTTCTTTCTCAAGATTATTTTGGCTATTCTGGATCCTTTGTGTTTCCAAATGAATTTTAGGAGCAGCTTGTCAATTTCTACAAAAAAGGCTGCTGGGATTTTGATAGAAATTGTGTTGAATCTCATTCAGTGATGTTTTGAACAATGACGTTTTATACTTTTTAGAGCACAAATTTCATACTTGGTTTGTTAAATTTATTCCTAAGTATTTTATTATTTTTGATGCTACTGTAAATGAAATTGTTTTCTTAATTTCACTTTCAGGTTATTATTGATTGCTAGTGTATAGAAATACAAATGATTTTTGTATGTTGATCTTATACCCTGCAACTTTAAGTTATTTATTAGTACTAATAGTTTTTTAATGGGTTTCTTAGGATTTTCTTTACACAAAGTCCATGTCATCTACAAATAGAGTTTTACTTCTTCATTTCCAATTTGGATGCCTTTTATGTCTCTTTCTTGCCAAATTGCCCTGGATAGAATCTTCAACACAATATTGAATAGAAATGGTGAGAGTGGACATTGTTTTCTTGGCTCTAATCTTGAAGCAGGGAGAGCTTTCAGTCTTTCACCAGTGAGGATGATGGTATCTGTGAGTTTTTATTAAATGCCCTTTATCAGATTGAGAAAGTTCCCTTTTATTCCTAGCGTGCTGGGTGTTTTATCATAAGCGAGTATTGAATTTTGTCAGATGTGTTTTCTGTGTCTATTCAGATGATTATATGATTTTTTTGGTCCTTTTTCCTATTGATAGAATATGTTACATTAATTGATTTTGGGATATTAAACCAACTTTGCATTCCTGGGATAAATGTCACTGTGTCCAAGTGTATAATCCTTTTTCATGTTGCTGTATTCAGTTTGCTAGTATTTTGTGAGCGTTTTTGCATATCATAGGTATCATGAATGTCTGTATTCATAAGATATTGGTCTGCAGTTCTCTTTGCTTGTAATGCCTCTGTCTGGTTTTGGCTTTCTTTATCTTTTAATGGGTCAGAGAGTGTGGAAGAGGAGAGACTAATCAGCTTCTTCCCCACCTCCTGTGCTCCCCGCATCCAGGGGGGAAGGGCAAACAGAAGCTCTGAGCCCATTTCCAGACAGTGTCAGCAGAGGTACCAATGGGGCGGACCAGTCTCATGTGTAAAAGGGGGTAGTAAGCCTGGCTGACAGCCTGGAGGTGATGGGCTAGGCCCACTGACTTCTTTGCAGCATCTTCCCATTGCGAGCCCCATGTTTCCTGGACAGTGAGAGTGTCCAAGGAAGCCACCGTATACTGGTGTTTAAGGGAGAAGGAGGGACCATGAGGGTCAACCTTGGAGATCCCTCCTGGCTCTGAAGCTCTAAGAGGCTGGATCATAAGTACCTGAACAGGTCACCCTCCCCGTTAGGTAAGTGGCCCAAATTCCATGGAGAAGAGGAGCGGGAGGGGCAGCAGCCTCACCTCGAGGTCACGTGGGCAGGCCCTTGTTGAAAGACAAGTTCCCAGCCAACCAGTGATAAGAACAGGTCAGGAAGGGCCTGTCCCCTCTTCGGCCCCAAAGGAACACAGATCCCTGATGGTGAGGCCTGGAAAACAGCACGTCCTATAGGAACAACAGAGCGTGAATGGGCAGCAGCTCTGTGGGCCCTGTCTGCACCCGGCTCCAGCAGCAGAATGGGAGGCTCTGTAAATGGGAGCCGTGGATTCCCAGCCTTCCCCACCCCAGCTGGGGATGGGGCAACCAGCTGGCAGTGTGGCGCTGCCTCAGGTGTCTTGTTAAATAGTCATCGCAGTCCCTGCCCGACCTTTCTCCACCTCTCAGTGTCGCCCAGGTACACACACTGGGCAGCCCTTGGGTCTGGGCTCCTCCAAGGAGCCAGTGGGCCGTTCCCTCTGCCAGATTCACTGTTCCCTCCTAGGGCAGCCAGTGCTACTTTTGTGCCTGCAGCTCAGTACAGAGGCCCCAGGTCCCTGTGAGAAAGCCCGTGAGGCAGGCAAGGAAGGAAGCGAGTGGGCTGCCACTGTTCATTGCATTTTTGCTGACAATTCGCCTTTCACGGTCTCCCTCCAGCCCTTTCCTGATAAGCGAGCTGGAGAGGCGGCACTTGGGAGAAGCCGGCATCTGTTAGGTAACCAGCTCAGCTGCCATGCAGGGTATGATGTAATCTTGGATCCTGTGGTTGCTAGGAAAATTCTGCCTGCAGTGATATTGCGTGTTCCGAGGACTGAGGTGAGAACAGAATGTTCCTGAGAAGGTAGGGGAAGGATTTGTAGGGCTTCCCAAGCAAAGGAACCCCATCCCAAGAAATCAGACAAGTTGAGCTCCTTTCTAGAAGTTTATTCCCCTTTTCAGGAATAGAGGTTGTGTTAGTAACAGCAGAATGCCATCAGGGCAGGGGGGTGCATGCAGCAGGGTTAGCTCCCTTGGCAGCACCTTGGTGCTCTGGTGCCAAACTGAAGGCACATGTCTGTAGTGTTACATCCTTGTGGACGGGCCCTCCTCCTGCAGCGCCCACGGCCGGGTGCCTCCTCCGCGCCTCCACGTGGCAAGCCAGCCAAGAAGGAGATCAGTAGGAGGCTGCCAGTGGGAAGGGGAGACGCCCTGGGGTGGGGACAGAGATGACCGGGCCCAGGGTAGGGGGTGGAATCCAACCACTCCCTGACTCCGTCTCACATGCCAGCAGCTCCACTGCACGCCCCCTCACCGCCCACCCCTTAGTGGCCTTTCCCGTGCCTGCTGTTCCCACCCTTCCCTCCTGGGGAGAATTCCTCCAGCGGAACAGGAGAGAAGTATGTCTGAAAGGCACTGCAGCCGACTGTTATTTAACGTTCAGGAAGCAACCAAGAACCGGCCTAAATTTAGAAAAAGGGGGGAAAGCGGCAGGAGCCAGGCAGGGCGCGGGCCCGGGAGGCGGGGTGGGACCTGCCGGTCACCTCACCTGCCCTGTAGGGTCTGCCACTCAGTCCTTCCTTCCCCAGCAGCTTCGGGTCGGGGAGGCAGGTCAGCATCTCAAGCTCTCTCCCTCCTCCTTCCTGCCTTTTCTGGCTGCAGGTCAGAGCCGGTCTTACGGAAAACAAGACAAAGGAAGTGATTTCATGAGTGCCTGGACTGTAATCCTCAAGTCCACCATTAAAAATAACAATGAAAAGATTACAGCTGTTATCCGTCTGCATAGGAGCCAGCCCTGCAGCAGGTTGGGGATGGGCCTGGCCATGCTCCTTTGAGCAGGTGTTGGGTTTGTGCAAAAAGGGATGAATATTAGAAATCACAATGAGCAAGATCAAAACAAGAGTCTTAAAAAGGAAGAGGGAAGTTCTCAAGGGCCCCAGCTTTGGTGACGTTGGAGCAAGCGTCACAAGCAGAGCCCTGCTCCAGGACAGCAGCCTAGGTTCCTGTCATGCCCACCTCTTCACTCTGTAGCCTTGAGAAGCCTCTGAGCCGCACCCCTGCAGCCCACAGCCCTGAGCCCTCCAGCAGGGTTGCTGGCGCGCCCTGGTCAGGCTGTCGGGGAGGCCCCGAGGGCAGGTGGGCTTCCCTGGAAGCACCTTGTTCTCAGAAGGCACCCCGCTCCGGGGGACTGTCCCTGGGTGCCGCAGCCTCCTTGCCTCATCCCAGATGGCAGCCCAGTATCCGCGGCCCTCCAGCAGCAGTTCTTTTCCCTGGTCTGCAGGTGCAGAGGATGTGGTGATGGCATTTTCCAGGTCGGAGACGGAGGACCGGAGGCAGTAGCTGCGAACCCCTTGGAACACTCTGGAAGCTGGCAAGGGCCAAGAGATCTGTGTGGACCTCACCGGCTGAGTGGCAGAGGTCACCTTCCCTACCCCCCACCCACCACCCCACCCCTTCCCGTCCCGCCCCACGGCCACTCAGCATCATCGAGGGAGACACCAGTGGTGCAGTTACGATTGGCTTGAAGGGACGGACTCATGATTGGCTGCGGGAAGAAACCTTTTTATTTTTAAATCTTGACCAACGGAAACCTTTTTATTTTTATTTCTGACTCTTATTTTTTAAAAAAAATTTGCGCCTCGGTGTACGGCTTCCCAGGAAGCTCTCCGAGCTCTGGTGCTTTATTTAGGTCACTTTTTAGGAATGTGAAGAGGTCCGATTGGCTGCTTAAACTGGAAAAGGATCTTGATTGGCAGGCTAATGGGAAACGATTTTTTTTCTTTGATTGGCTGCAGGTGTCCTGCTGATCAGCAACAGCTTCTCTCTTTTGAACGTCGAAAACAGGGTTTGGGACGTTGGTTGTTATATTTGACTTGAAAAAAAGAAAGAAAAAAGAAACCAAGTGCGCTTTGCAACATTTATTACACAAAGAGCTTACTGCTGCTTTTGTTTGTGTTTGCATTCGATTGGCCTTCGGTATGTGTGTTTGGTTTCCCATTGGCTCACCCATGACTCCCGTTGCCATGGGCTCCCTCTCTGCTGCCTGCAGGCCCTCTCCAGCCCCAGGGTTCACCTGGAAAATGCATTTGCTTTAATGACCATGCCCGGCCCCACCAGCATGGGGACCGCGAGGACCCCAAGCAAGATCCGCAGATGGAAAACAGGGCCCCCGAGGAAGTCTGTGTTGTACTGATCTAGCAGCCCAGAGCTTAGAGGTGACCATTGGCCAGGATTTATGTGCATCACTTCCATGAGTTGGCAAGCATCCAGCTTCGCTTGGTGAGAATGGAATCGCTCACACGCCATCCGTCCAGCTCCCCCAGCCTGCCTGTGCTGAGCAGACGAGCAGGGCGCTGGGCGGCTCTGTCCTTTCAGCCATTCCCTCCATAGGCTACTTCCTGAGGCCTCATCTGGGGGCTCCTCCTGTAAAGGGAAGGAGCTGCTCCCAGCTGTGAGACCCCAAAACATGGCAGAGGTCTCTGCCTGGGAGCCTCGAACCCACGCAGAAGCTTCAGCTTGGCTCACCAGGCCCAGGAGGCCTCTGGTTCCAGACACCCCCTTCCTCCCCAGCCTCCCCCAGCCTCCTCCGGAGGTGTCTGCTGCCGGAGCAGTGGGTCCTGACCAGACTGCCCTCAGATGGGGCTCTCTCCACAGCTGCCTGGAAGTGACAGTCATTATTTATGAAGTGCCCACTGGGACAGCTAGCTGATCCTTCACTGAACAGATCCCACCAGGCTGGCCCTCAACCCAGGCCCCCCAAAACACATTGCAGGGAAGTGGTCTTCGAAGGGCTGCAGGCACCCCAAGCCCTCCCACCTGGCCTCCTTCCTCCCCTGGAGGCAGCCTCCCCTGCTTCCTGCCTCTCACGGGAACAGAATCTGGGTGTGGAGTTGGAGGAAGATGTGGACCTCCGGGAGACAGTAAATGCCTGAGGCCTCCTTCCTGCCCCAGGTACCCAGCGCCAGGAGAAAACTCTCAAGAGTCAAATCTCCCCTTCTCAGGGCTTGGGGCTGTCGTGGAGCATAGAAGTGAACGCCAGCATGCCCTAGGCCCAAGCCCTGGAAGGCTCCACGGTGAGTGGTCGTTGTGCTCTGAGCTTCCTCTGAACCTTGCCCAGAGGAGAACCAGACACTCATGTCCTCCACATACTGGCCACATCAGTTGGCTGATCGTTAACCTGAAGAGGCTGTGGGGGACCCCAGCAGGGGCCTGAGAGCATCTTCCTCTCAGGGGCAGTGCATGTGCACACGCGTGTATAAGTACACAAACTCAGACTCGCACATGCACACTCCCAGCTCAGTGGCCTGCAGCTCCAGCTGAGCTCCTGGGGAAAGGCGAGTTTTTTTTCAGTCTCTGCCCTGGCCCCACGTGGTATATCTGTTAACAGACGTCAGTGCCGGCGTGGCCGGCTGCTCCCTCTCCTTGTACCTGTAGCTCTCAGAAAGGGTCCGTGTCCTGGCTGATGGTGTGTTCCTGCCCCAGCCTGTCCTTGCCAAGGTCATGGGCCTCCCTCTTGTAACTGTGGTGGCCCTGATCTGTCTCATTTTCTGAAGAAGTAAAGTGAAAATGTTGCTGTGGCTTCATATTTCAACTAAAAATATATCTGTTGGAGAAAAAAAAACAATAAAAATTTTTAATAGTTTGGCATGTGAGCTGAGTTACTCGCACAGAGCTGGGTGCATTGGCTGATTTCCCCATATCATGTGGACTCTGCTGCTGGGACCCGCCCTCCCCAAGGAGGCTTCCCAAGGAGAGGTGAAAACACCATGCTGGCTAGTTGAATTGTCTATGATGTGGAGTGGAGCTCAGGGTTTGGAAGAGCTTCCAGATCTACCCAGCCCAGCTGACATGTCTGTAGGAATGGTGAGCCCCTCTTTTGACCTGGAGGTCCCAAATATTATCCTAGATTGGGCTGAAACCAGCAATCTTCAGAGGTGACCCCCCCATGCCCTTGAGCAGACCCTGAGCACCCTGGGCACCCTAGACTCCCCAGCATCCTGTGTGACGGCGGTGGTCATAGAATGCTAGAAACAAAAGTCTAAACAGAGTATTGGTCCCTTCCATCATCCCAGAAATGAAAGATTTATTGGTGTTCAGCTGTATATTCAAGTTTGGAAGCTGAAATCATTTCTGCTTTAGGAATTTTTGCCTTGGAAGCATTTTCTAGAATTTTTCATTTCCGCCCTTCGTCATCCCATTTTAGGTCCTTTTTTTTCTGCTTACATGGACTCACCATGTCTGTTTCCTTTTCAAAGAGTTTCACTGGGTGCTCAGCGCTATGAGGTTTATTGAATATGGGGGGCTGATGGCACAACTGACATCATCAAATCTTGGTGTTGGGAGAGATGTTGGAGGTTGTCTAACAGCCCTAGTAGCCAGATGTGAGTCCCCTCTGAGACATCTGAAAAAGGCTTGTCCAGCCTTTGCTTGTATACCCTCTGGGAGTGGGAAACTCACTACCTCACACGATAACCCATTCTACCTACAGGTAATTTATGTTCAGCCTTAGACTGAGTTGCTCTGCCCTTCTCTGTAACTTCCTTTTCCAGGAAGGAGTTTATAGTTATTGAGAGAAAGACAAAAAAAGACAGTTATGTTAGCCAAAAATTACATAGAGACACCTATCAAGAGGTTCCCATTGGGTAAATTATGTGTAGACTCTCCCCACCCCCCACCTGCGCTCTGAGTGGCACTGTCGGTAGTTAGTTAACCTTGGACTTAATCGGCTCTTCTTAGCTGGGCCGCTGTGCAGAGGGAGGGGTTGGCTGGCCCTGGTCCCACCTGCCCAGCCCCACTGCAGAGAGCCTGGAACTGGAGCAGGGAGGGAGGAGCTTCCCAGAGCTGTCTGACCCTGGTGGGAATCAGGCTATGCAAGAAAGATGAGTTGGGACACTTCAGCAGGTGAAGGGAAAGCACTGGGGGAAGGACTGGGCCTTTCAGGGTCTCAGCCCACATGGCAGGCAAACTTCCGGGTCCACCTTCCCAGGTGCAGGTGCACATGGCCAGTAAAGATCCCAACAGCGGGACTGGGACTGCTGAGGCCAGGGACACCTGGGAGCCTGGCGATGCCTAGGATGGGCTGAGAAGGGAGGCTGGGCACCCTGCCTTTTGTTGGTGTTTCCCAGCCCTGGGGGAAGGGTGGTTGAGGATGAATGAAGCGCTTCTTCTCCCTGGCCCCCCCGGGGTGAATAGCACCTGTGAGAACCCAGGCTGCTCCAGGCTTGAACAGGGCCCTTTGTAGCAGGGAAAACGATCCCTCCACGGCTCCTGGTTCAGTGGTGGGGCTCTTCCAGAGCAGGGGAGCTCTGTGGGCCCCGGGGGCCCCACCATCACCCACCTGCCCTGCCCGCACAGCCTCTCTCTCTCGTTCATGGCCACCCTCTCCTTTCCTAGAGGATGAAATAGGCTTAGACTAACCTGAGGCCATGTTTAGAAAACATTTCTCCATCCAATGAAGCAACTTTCTCTTCTGGGGCAACAGCTGGTGTCTGGTAGATGTGGGGGCTTGGGGCACCATGACTGCCAGTCCTAACTTAAAGAAAGGCCTCTTCAAAGGACAAGGGCAGTAAAATGCCTTTTGAATCTCAGCCAGTGCCTTGCCTTCGCTTGGAACTGCCCCCTCACAGGTGGTTTCTGAGGGGCAGGGAAGTCAGAGGAGCTGAGCCCCACCCTGCCCACCCCGCCCTGTCTGGGCCTCCTCCCTAGCCCCCCAGGCATGGAGGAGAGTGTGTGACAGGTGGCAGCCCTGTTGGCACACCTGTGGGAGCCCCGCCCCACTGCGCAGCCCCAGATCCTCTGAAAGTTCCCGCCTCTGGGCCCTTGGCCTTGGCCGTGGAAGGCGTGGGTTTTTGCAAACACCTTTTTTATGCAGGTGTCTCCCACATCCCAGGCTTAATAACACAGTGGATGTATGTTGGGTGCTACTCGGGTGCAGATGCGTAGCGCTTTGTGTACACCACCTCCGGTCATGTGTGAGGTTCGTTATCTCCATTTTATAGATGAGGAGACGGGGGTGACATAGTTTGCTAAAGCATAGTACAGCCAGAACTTGGACCCACGTTGTCTGACCCCAGACTCTGTGCTTAGAGCCACTATTTCCAACTTTGACAGGAGGGGCAGGTAGGGGTGGGGGTAAATCCCATGTCGCTGGGTCACCCAGTACCTTCTCCCCACCTGCCAGCTCTGTGACCCCAGTCCAGTCTGGTGTTTGCCCCTGGTTTCCAAGCCCCCTAACCCTAACCCCAGCTGTCTGACTATGGTAGGTTGTTAACAACTGTTTGTCAGGCGGGTTAACCCAACAGCTGGGTCCTCGGTCCAGCCCTCATCTCGGGGATGAAACTGCTGTCCTCCCAGCCTGGGAAAGAAGCTGGTTTCCCACAACCCAAGGAGCCCCGGCAGCCTCCGAGCCGCCCCTTTCTGACTCCTGCTCCTCACCTTTCACCCACTCTGATGCCTCCTCATGCAGACCTGGCAGTTCTCCAGCCTAAGCTGGTTTCTCTAGAACACGTTTCTCTTCCACTTTGCCATAACTCTTCCCGTTCACAGCTCCCAGCCAGGCCATCCGACCTTGAAGCTCACCTGCTCCTGCAAGGCCAGTGGAAGTGTTCAGGATGTGGGGACAGCAGGCTGGGTCTGGAGCTCTGCCTGCCTCCTGTGACCTCTGTACCTTTGGACAGGTCTCAGCCTCAATTTTCTCATCTATAAAATGGGAATAATATCAACATCTGTACCTTTAACAAATTCTATGCGAATTTGAACCCAGTAAAGCCCTGGACAAACATTATTCTCCCCTGACCTCATTTTATGCTGTCTACTCCCACCGTGCAAGTCTTTATGTCTTTATGTCTTTGGCGGCTGGGGAGACATTAGGATTCTGAGCAAGGACTCTGGAAGCCACCTGCTGAAACTGAAGTCTGGATCTGCCCCTCAGCAGCTGTGTGACTTGGG